TAAAAGAAAGGTTCAAGAAGGCCGCGTTATGGTAAACATGCGTTTTCATGGGAATAATCGCGCGGCTTCAGACGGTGAAGGAAAATTCGAACCACGTTCGAAGCTGTCGCGTCATATTGATGGACAAGGTTTCTCTTTTACACTCTCGTTTACATAAAAAAAATGCTGCCGCGCGATTATATGCTGCTAACCAACAGAATAAGCTAGACAGTGTGACGAGGAGAAGCAGCGGTGTTCCTAATCGCACAGATTAGCCGCTGATTAATTACTCGTCGACCTTAGTGTCGCGCCAGCGACGGGATCGTTACGATCGTTCGCTCGTTACGAAAGCGCGAGAACTCGATCAAGGGAGGTACGTATAAGTGTCGTACGCAGTCATCAAGAAACGACGATTTACGTGACGCGTTATGGAAGGTCCCTATCAATTATGCTAAACAGCCTTGTCACGTATGACGAATCCAGCGTCCTTGGAACGCATCTCTGTCACGTTGATGAGCGACAGAAGGGTCGCGGACGCGTCAGATAAAATTTAATCACAGATGCATACACTGAGGGAAAATATCTAAAAAAATGGAAGTATCTCTCTCTATATTCGATATGAGTATTAATAATATATCACATAATAATATAAACAAACAATAAAAACGGCGGAAATATGTTGGACTATCCCGACACATGCGTCCACAAAAATTATTTAATTCCAATCCAATTATTTGAATATTCTTTATCTGTATTTAATCTTTATTCTTAATTTTAATAAGAAATGTATTTTTTAATCCTTTCCAATTGCAGATAGTATATGTATATAATAAGCAAATATTGAATAATCTAATAAAGAGGAATGAGAAAATCAGTGCAACAAATCGAATAAATAACATGGATAAAAAAGTGGATAAAGAGCAAAACAAATTCTCCTTATTTATAACTTTTTTGTTATATATATATATATATATATATATATATATTTATTTATATTTATATACATTTCTTTTTTATAGATATAGGAAATTTTTCCACAAAAAATTTAAGAAAAGTAGAAAATTGTAAGGACAAAGATGACAGTTGTCAAAAAATGCTCGATTCGAATTTTGCACAATAACAATTCTGCATTTGCAAAACAAAATATTATAAGATAGGTATTCATAATTGTATTCATAATTATAAGTGAAATCTTTGTAATATACCATAATTAATTACAGAATCATATTCTGGACTGCTGTTTATCTATTTGTATCAATATTTCTTACATGAAATAACTAAGATTTATTTAATGCGTTGTATGGAATAAGTAAAATTGACGGACAATCAGAGATTCAGAAAGTGATTATTTAACAAACGACAATAAACTACGAATACCGACCTACATTTTGACTCGAGTATCTTTTTATTCTCGCAGAGTTTGTCCTGCATTTTAAATGATTTGACATACCGTGACATGTTGTATCGCTGCCTGCGTCTGCGTTCTCCATCCTGGCTTCCCGCTTCAGCATCCTGGCAGCCAGCTGCTCCATCGTGGCACATAAGATACTGCACTCGCGCGAATCGATCGGAAAAACGTATGTTAAATAACGCGATGCCGACGAGAGCACGATTAATTATTTTACGAGTCCACGAGAATAACAACCAGCTCGTCGATATACGCGCGCTCCGCGTCGTTCGTCGGCTCGACACGTAATGACTCGATCGCGGAAAAACGCGCGGCGTATGGGACTACCGAAACAATGCGTAAAAATGACTACGTCATAGTCCCTTATCGCGAGTCAGTTAACGGTGTGTACATGACAACAATCACCTTCAAACATACCGAGCTTTAAGGTGACTATCAAACTTATCAGAATTGTACCATTGAAAATTTCATCCGTAACATTCGACGATATATTGTCGTAAGTTAGTATGCGATCATTAATTAATTAACGCGGAATTTCCGATTAACTCGTATTTTCATCTGGAACCGTTGAGTGTTTGGCCACGATGACGAGCAGGAATTGACTTCAGGACGAAATGCAGAACGCAGGATATAGTAGCAGTTCGTAACGAAAATTACAACTACTTCTTTTTATTTACTTTTTGAAAAATTCCTAATTCTATAGAAATTTCTAACATTAATAGAACTAAATAAATTATAGAAAAAGAAAGTTTATTATTTTATTTATTCCATTAGCTTTTATTAGATTTTGTTTACTACACGGAGAAAAATAATTTTGCTCTTTTAGCAAAATCGTCGTTGCTACTGCATATTCGTAGTGACATCAAAAAAATTTAGTTGACGTAACTAATTTTACAAATTATTCATTATCAGAGCAGAAGTAATTTCGTTGCCAGGATAGAAAAAATTTGTTGAGTGTACTTGTCCTAAGAATCACGTTAATTTGCTATTGATGCAAAATAATGTATCCTTAGCAAATTTATTTGCTGTCGGAACAAAACTGCAACTGTTTATATAAATCCATCTTGGTTCTTATAGCAAAATAATTTGTAGATTCAGCAAATTATATCCAGCAAATAGTGATTAATAGTGATTAATCCTGGCAATGAAACTACTTCTGCTCTGATAACGAATAATTTGTAAAATTAGTTACGTCAACTAAATTTTTTTGATGTCACTACGAATATGCAGTAGCAACGACGATTTTGCTAAAAGAGCAAAATTATTTTTCTCCGTGTAGTAAACAAAATCTAATAAAAGCTAATGGAATAAATAAAATAATAAACTTTCTTAGCAAATCTTTTTGCTGTCCATATAATAACGAAAAGATTTTGCTAGACCAGCAGAAAATCTGTTGGGCCAGCAAATTATTATTCTCCGTGTAGTTGCACATTTACAATTGAGTGAGTTATATTGTGTGCTTATTGAAATTAAAAATAAAATAGAAATAAACTAAAATAAAGAATAAAATAAAAAGTAAAGTAGAGAAAAAGTATAATTAAAAATAAAATTTAGATATAGTTAAAATATCGAGAAGTTCAACGATTGAATTTCGCGACTCATATCGAATCTTCGACTCAAGACACCTCTGAGTAGAATCGACACGGCCGCTCATCGCCGACGTATTGATATTACACGCTCATTGAATTACTTGTGTTTGAGTTCGCTTAATAAACGAGATCGCCTCTTCGATGTGTAAGCGTACCTAATAGGATCGCTGTTCAGCGTTGAGTGGAGAAGCATCTTTATCGGCAAGCTGGATCGCGTTCTACCTGGTCGGTGCGGCTGGAGATTGCGGGCTCGCGGAGACTCGCGCTGATTTTCGCCAGGCGTTGCACGCAATTAGAAGCGCCTCGACGGCGGTGGGCGATAATGAGTCTCCGCGATAATTCCCTCGGGTCGGATCGGAATTGCTGATTTTAGGTTAGAGAGGCATTCTCCTCACGTCCTCTTCTACGGAGTATCCGGGCGAGGAAGAAGAAGGATGAGGTGGAAGAGAAGGAAGAGGCGGGTCAGATCTCGCTGACGTGAGATTATCGGCTACGCTTCGCCGGCTGGAATGTGCCCGCTCGGATAGAACATGGAATATGCCCTTTTTCGCGCTATACTCGCGATTAGCCCTTGGTGTCTGAAAAGAAATGAAAACTCTACGACTCTGGTCTCTTAAGATGAGTCGATAGAAGGAGTATTTTGCCGATAATCACTGAACCTTCGCTGATTCTCGGTTGAAGCACTCTCACTCTGCTACTCCGTCTTATGTCTCACTGGTTTGGGCCAATGAAAATAAGATTTTTGCAAAGTTTGTGCACTGAGAAAAAGATATGGTTAGAGTAACTATGATCTCTATATTTTATAATTATTTATGTCTTCAAGTACCTTTATTCTTATTTGCGATCGATCGAGGAACTGTCGATCACAACGCGTTTTGCCGGGACCGTTCCGCAAGAACGCGAAGATTACATGGATTGATAGGATAAACACGGAAAAGGAAAGAAAAAAAGAAACACGGAAAGGATATTTATCGAATCGAAACCGTTAATTTGATGGCGAGAAAATAATGGGACTCGTTCGTTAATTTTACAGTTTTAATTATATGAAAGTAACTCCCTTAACTTGCATTTAACAGTTCTTCGGAAAATAACGAAAGGTATTCGGATTGTCGATATAAACGTGGATTGAGCAACGGTGACTGAGCTGCGGCTTCGTTCACAGCTCGCGGCGGATTTCGAAGTTCGCGCGTTGTCGCAATCCTCTGATACTCGCGTAAGGACGAGTTGAAGCGGGCATCCGCTGATTAATTAGAGTGATGCACCTTTCTTAGTTTATGAATTTTGAGCTGAGTCCTGGACGTCGAGAGTGACGATGTTCTGACCGGAAGAACGATTGAAACAACCACCGTGGCCCGTGAATCGAACATGATGGTCGACAACGTCCTTGAAGGTTGAGCGAGCATAAATCGACTTGACCCAATCTGCCCTCGCACCCAATCGCGAAAGATGCTAATGAGACCCATCGCGGAGACAGACTTCGCTGACGGATTGACAAAATGAGACTTGTTTCGCTCGCACTCGCAAAAATTTTAACGGCAACGAAACAGTATCAGCTTTGAACGACATGCGATTCTCCGAGTGGGAGAATAGGCTGCACGCATCGCGCGTTTTAGCGACACGCCTGAGATTGTCGCGAATTCAAGGCATCGTTGAACGCGCGCTCTTAATTCAATCGACTTCATTCGATCCTTAACAATTCTAAACATGTAAATATTATAGTAGAGTGAGCCTAGAATTATGATCAGTATATAATTAATATTAAGTCGTTAAATAATAGAATTTTGAGTTATTGATCAAAGACGATTCGTGAATAATTACGCGCCATATGGTAGATGAGCTGTGATGGCAACGTTTACCGCTATATTTCTGTATATTAAGTCAAATTGAATAAGAAAGTCCTTTATCGTTTCTCACCCTATATATGCTTTCGATCTGATTTAAATCAATATTTACTTATAATAATTATACAAACAGTTTATGTTCAGTAATAGCTATGTTCAGTTCTATCGTTCGCGACGTTTGAAATGTAAACACTTCGAACGTTCGTTACGAAGGAATAAATCGTCAGAGCAACAACGCGTAATCAAACTTATCGATACGCGAATTGCTGAATTCATTTCGACGCAAATAGTCGATTGGTTGAGAAACCGTGTAAGATCGGCACAGACACGTACTTGACGAATTTTACTCTTCGACAACACAATAGAGAGAAATATCTAACATAATACGATTGTAAGTGAAGCAACCGAAAGTGAGTAAGACTAGCAACGATTTAATGGATACGATCATATTTTAAACCGCGTAAATAATATTTCCCATTTGTTACTTCATTACGTTCTTTGCAGGATCGGAAGAACAAAAATTATTCAAAGCGAAAAATTATCTAATTTATTGACCGACTAAGAAAAAACTAACTGGAATTAGCGAAACGATCGTGAATATTTTCCTCCAGTATAAAATTGTGCGAAAAGGGAACATTTTCAAATGGTTTCAAGTCCAAAAATGTTTACTTCTCACTAGGTAGCACTCTAAAGACGTTTCACGATCGACTTCCAGTGTTCCAACTTCCGAAATCGACCATTTTCCCAGCAATTTTACGATTTTATAACTTCTTTGACTTTTATTGGAAATTTTCCGATATTTTTGGAAATTCAAAATGCATACGTTCATGATTATTTACGTGGATATATGGCAATGGATACAAAAAATGATGAACGCTATATTCAGACTACTCGGCCTAAACCAGACACTGCAAGAACGAAGAAGAAATCAGATGCACCGCGAATTAGGCGAACCGTTTTGGTGCAAAGTCGGTAAAGTTGCACGCCTTTGTACGAATCCGATTATGTCAGTGACGGAGACGAGTATCATGAGCAGTGAATTCGAATTCCTTGGACCTAAAAATGCCACGGACAAGAGCCACATACTGAAGCATCATAAGTAAGTGCGATGTACGAAATAGCTGACGTCTTATTGACTTCGTTGGTAATTAAGGTAGTTGTGTCATGAAACGAGTTTAGTGACAATATGATCAAACTTGCACATATGCATTGAAATATTATATAATTGCTTGTATAATAGCTTGTACAATTATAAAGACATTAATCATTCGAGGCCTGAGATATTTGCAATTAAAGTTGACACTTTTATATGTGTTTCTGAAGACGTTAGCGTGCTATTTCTAATTTATATCTTTAATACCTTCTGAACTACATATAAGAGATTTTGATGGTAAAATACTATGATGTTAAAGATTAATATACAAACAACCTTCGTTACACTGTCTGCAAAGAATAATGCTGAAACTAATTAACGATATTTTACTCTGTACTATTAGCTTATTATTTGTATACGATGCGGAAAGCATGTGCGTACAAACCAGCTTGAATCTCAATTTGCAAGTGATGTTAGAATACAAGAGCAAAACCGAAATATTTTTGCAACCTTTAACGACGTACGGCATAAGTTTGTATTTGGATACGATTCAGAATAATCCTCTAATCGAATGCACCACATCGTTCTCTAATAAATTTCTAGTTAAAGTAATGGGTCGCGATTGCGGTGAGCGTGTCTCTAACTGGATATCCAGGTACATATTCGATCATTTTCGTTTCACGTTATTGTCCGTAAATAATAGTCGGCCTTTAAAATGAAGAAATTTATAGGCTTTGTAACAAACGGGGTTTAAGATTGGCACTCACTGTCCACACACCTCCAACAATGCGAAAAACATTTTGGGAAAGTGTGAGAAAAGCATACAAAGCAAAAAGAGATGAGACGTCTATCATGGTAATTAAGAAGAATTAATGATAATTAAGGAGATGTCTTAGTCTAGATAGTCGAAAAATAGGAGCTTTTCACAAATTCTTTTCAAAGGAATGTATAATGATATAAAAATTCTTTTCAAAGGAATGTATAATGATATAAAAATAAACTTTTTAGATATACTATTAATAATTATTTTAAGTATAAAAAAATTATTAAATTGAATTTGACTCTCTTTAAGAAATTTCGAAAAGATATCTGTTTTGCAACTTTTTAAACTAGAATACCTCTTCATAGAATTCATGGCATTTCGCGACATGTTATTCTGAATTCGAGAAACGTGAGATTTCAATCAAATAAAGTATTTGTGCTCTTCAGTTATCATTTTCAGATATGCCGACTTACAAAATGTGTATATACCAATCGTACATGAAGATACATAAACATACGTATCCCATTAGAGATTTCATAGAATTTACACCGAATATTATCGTATTGGCACGATGGTTGCATTTAGAAGACAAATGGGAGTGGATTAAGATCGGCAAAGCGATCATCAGGAATGTCAACCCGTGGCCGAGGTAATTACATGAGCTCGTCAATTAAATTCCACGCACTGAGTTTACACTCTACGTGCTTTATGAATCCTTACGACAAACGCTATGAAGTATCTTCTTCTAATTAGGAAATGTCTTGAATATGTACATTATTTTTTTCCTCAGGTTTAATTTGAAGATTAGCCCGAGATACTGGCCCACAGACATGAAATCGGATCTGCTGTTAATACATTGTGAACTATATCAGCCGGGCGAAGTGAAAGTAGGGGATGACATTTGGGTCCATATACCGCACAAGAATTAAATAGCTAGTGGAATTTTAATGCAATTTATTAGTTTTTCCTATATAGAGTAACGCATTATTGACCGAATAAGTGATGATGACTCTTCTCACGTGAAACGTAATTAAAAATGTGAAGTGAAATTGTGTCATGCGCGCTTGAAACAAAGAAACATCAGCCTTTACTATAAGCATGAAAATTAAAGATTTTATAATCCCATAAATGTATGTGTGTGTACATATATATGATGTATGTATACACGTATACATACATCATGCATACATGAAAAAAAAAGATTTGCTACATATACAACTAGACATAATTTGCTGTGTTAGCCACTTTTTCTTTGCTGCAGGAACCAATTTCCTTGCTATAATAACAAGAAAATCTGCCCCTGCAACAAAAAAGTAGCTAAATTAATGAATTATGTTTAGTTCAACTAAACATAACTGTAGCAAATTTATTGCATTAGCACTTTTCTTGTTATAAGAGCAGACTTTCTTGTTATCAAGCAAGGAAATAGGTTCCTGCACCAAAGAAAAAGTAGCTAACACAGCGAATTATGTATTTTACTGTCCATATGTGGCAAATTAGTTTGCTGTTGCAGCAAATTCTTTTTTCTGTGTACACATACATACATTTATACATATATGTATATTCTTTTTGATACGTTTTTAACTTTCTCACGTTGGATCATCATCTTCATTTGGTTTCATCGTATAATATATTACGCGAAAGAAACTAATAAATTAAGTTAGAATTCTCCGTTAATAAAAATAAGTAAGAAATAATATGATTTGCCGCCAGTAAAATTTTCATGTTCATAATTATGTTGTTATGAAATTCTACTAACGAGAGTTGTCTTGACTAATAATAATTATACTAATAATAATTACATTATTTATTACAATAAATTACATCAATCCTTACATTAAACACTTTACTGTAATTGCTCCTAATTGCTAATTTGCAATCAATAGTAATCTTCTGCGCACAAAAGTGATAATTTCGCGCATCTTATTCTTGAATAGCTAAAGCATGAAATGAGTTTGTGGCTATGAACTAATGTATGGAATGAGGTGTCTTTGTAGCTGCGAGCCGATATTTCAGAGATATACCCAGCTCGCGATATAATCTATTCCTCGTGAAACATAAAATGAAAATCTGCTGTAAAACATCGAGAAGGAGATAAACGGCAATATTCGCCGTTTCTACAGAACGCCAGTTTAATTAAACTGATAACATAAACATCTTTCTAGCCAACCGTGAAATGAAATATAGATCGTCGTAGTGTAAACATAAGAACAATCAGTGTGAACAGCCAACGATATGCTTCCCCGATATCTCGCTTAGTCGAAAGGAGCACCACGACTGAGAAACATTGAATCTCGAAAAATCCTGATCATAAGCAAACAATAAGAACAGACCAGATCTTTAGGTCTTGCTATATAGTAATGTTTATGTAACGTTTGGCATTATACACGCAGAAATTTAAAAAGGGAAAAAATTCAAAAGAACGAATAAAACTGACAATTCTTTCGGAAAGGATCATGATCGGCCAGGTAAGCTGTATTCTCCGTTGATTGTGCCGAATTAGTTTCGAGTTCTCTTCGTGTATAACGTTGTATGCTATTGTCCTCTCAACAATTATGCTGTCCCGTAACAAAACACGATTATTATTGTGTGTATTTCAATGCATGTCTACGCTGAAATTAAAATTTTTTTAATCCTCTGTGTGAGTAAATGAAATCGGGACAAATTTTTTTCTCAATATTTAAGGTCTCTACTTTCTATTTAAAATGTGTTGTAGTCTCCAATGTTTGTAACTTTTTTTCCGTAAAATACGGAGGAAAGCATAGAATCATTGACTGTTTAACTGTTCCTAAGATGATCCACGAAACACACGATGGGTTAATCATATTCCTATCAATTGTTCCTTTCTAAACAAATGTCAAACACAAGTCTAATGTATACAAAGTGTACTCGGCTTTTTGTATTTTAATAAATACCACAATAAATAAAATACAGCGATCTTCGCGAGACAAAACAATGGCGAGAATCGTTCATCATTCGGAATTTGTTGAAGAATACATGGAGAAAAATAATTTTGCTCTTTTAGTAAAATCGTCGTTGTTACTGCATATTCGTAGTGACATCAAAAAAATTTAGTTGACATAATTTTATAAATTATTCGTTATCAGAGCAGAAGTAGTTTCATTGCCAGGATAGAAAAAAAAATTTGTTGAATGTATTTGTCCTAAGAATCAGAGCAGAAGTAGTTTCATAGCCAGGATAGAAAAAATTTGTTGAATATATTTGTCCTAAGAATCACGTTAATTTGCTATTGATGCAAAATACTGTAACTTTAGCAAATTTATTTGCTATCGGAGCATAACTGCAATTGCTTATATAAATCTATCATCGTTCTTATAGCAAAATAATTTGTAGATTTAGCAAATTATATCCAGCAAATAGTACTCTTAGCAAATATTTTTACTGTCCATATAATAACGAAAAGATTTTGCTAAACCAGCAGAAAATTTGCTGGGCCAGCAGATTATTTTTCTCTGTGTATAATATATTGTAATAACACAGAAAGGAGAGAAAATATTTATTGATAAATACGTTGAAATTTTTTCAGGTTTGGATAGCATTTGTCTGCATCACAACTGTTTGTGTCGTAGTAAAACAAGTACATGATAAAGATTTCAGCAAAAAGAAGTTTCATCTAATATGGCCTATTTCGAAAGAAACTTTGAAAAAATTGTACAAGAAAAAAAAATGGAGAAAGGTCGGCACAGTCGACACGATTTTCGTTTATCCACTGTTGTCAATTGAAAATAGAATAATGGTTCAGAAATTAAATTATAACGAGCATCTTTCGGTTATCGACAACTTTATATACAGAGATAAGTAAGCGCGATATTCAAACATTTATTTCTCAAGAGAGCTGCGAAATTCATTTAAATCAACAATAATCACTATGATATAATATCTTTGATATTATATATATATAATATCTTTGCGTATTTGATTATTCACAGAACACATCACATTTATTGTATAAATCAAGATGATTTTACGAAATATGATAAAAAAATGCATAGACAATTCTATATTTAATAGAGATGAAGGAGAAAGAAATTTGTGATATTTGTGATATTTGTGATATTTGTGATACAATGTGACCATTACTTATTTGGTTATCGTTAAGATTGTTTCAAAATATTATTTCTTTGGAGTTTTATAATTTTATTTTCCTTACCCGATTAAGCGATTTTTAAGATAAATCTGATTAAAAAGCAACGTATCAACACACTGTTTCACATCAAATCATTTGTCTTATTTAGAATAATTTTCCAAAGATTATTTTTAAAAGTTTTAGTTTTTTTTTATCGATATTTTAAAGCAAAATTTATAGCAAAATTTCATATATAGCGTATTCAACTGGATCTGAATTAATTGACCCTGGATTATTAAACCCAAGTTCATTGGTCGAACATTTTCGTATAAATGATTAATAGAGTTTTGTAGCGTCATTAAATGACCCCACTTCTATCAAAATTAGAAAAAATTTGCCTCTTTCTCTAAATTTCTTTCTCTGTGTATAGAATCAGATGATATAAACCACTATAAAAATAACTTACTAAAACAGACTCAAATCACGAATGATGACCATGTTATTCCGTATTATATACAGAAAAAAGTTTTGCTACATATGGACAATATAAACATAATTTGCTGTGTTAGTCACTTTTTCTTTGATGCAGGAGCCAATTTCTTTGCTAGGATAACAAGAAAATCTGCTTCTGCAACAACAAAAATAGTTAAAGCAGTGAATTATGTTTAGTTGTCCATCTGTAGCAAATTTGCTGCGTTAATCACTTTTCTTACTGTAGGAGAAAATTTTCTTGTTATCATAGCAAGGAAATAGGTTCCTGCAGCAAAGAAAAAGTAGCTAATACAACGAATTAACTGTCTATATATAGCAAATTAGTTTGCTCTTTCAGCAAATCCTTTTTTCCGTGTATTGTTAGTTACAAGATAAACAGCTTACGCAGACCGAGTATTTTTTGTATCATACTTCATAATTTCTGTTGTATAAACTTGAAAATAATATATGGAATTTTTATCTTTGCGCTATATTAGCATGTTCGTGGTGTACAATACGAACACGAAAGACGTACAAACCGATAAGCAACTGAGACTTGTTAATATAAAAATTAAGAATCAATTCATAGTGCAATTATCAGCACCAAATATGTCTCTATTAGACATAGATTTAAGGGAGATAACGAAGAAAATCAATATCATCGAATGTATGAATCCCGCCGAGGAATTTCTGCCTAAGATCAAATTTACTGATTGCGGCGATGAAGCCGCCGCATGGTTATCAATGTATACGAACAATCATTTCTATGACGTTCTGCGTCTACATTTTACTTACAATTTACCTACAAAGAATTGAATACTAATAGAATAATTTACAGGTATCTGAACAAAACCGATATAGGTTTAGGATGCATTATACAGTCGCCACTTTTGCGAAAAATATTTTGGCCTTACATGAAAGAGTTGTGTGATTCCTACATTTGTAACATCAACGATAAAAATATCGAGGTAACTAACACATTATGAGTTACAAGGGTCCATTAGCATTGACAGTTAAGCGGAAATAACGTAATATATACCGGCAAAGATGTTTCATGTTCAATGTACGATGTATCTTATGACTATCTTATTGTTTTTCCGCAAAGTCCTGATTTTAAATTTCTGCTATACGCAACTTAAAGCGCTTATCTTTCTTAGATGCCCCAGAATATCCTACCAGAGTGCAGGTTGCTGATATTGTCATCGCTCCAGCGATTTAATGAAATTACGAGCCATGATACTTCCAACGTCCAGTTTAATCCGAACATTGTTATTGATCTAACAAAACCGTTGGAGGAGGTTGAATGGGATTGGATCCGGATCGGCGAAGTAACTCTTAAGAACGTTAAACCGTGGACGAAGTAAATACACTTGCGTTTATACTGGCTATATTCCACGCGTTTCTTTATTCCACGCGTTTCTTTTTTCGGATTAACATAGACCTAGAATGTTTTTGAAAGTTCATGCGATCCTGTCATTAAAGATCGTGACGAGAAAGTCTAATTGAAAGTCTACAGTGCTCACGCGCATTATTTTTCTCGTTTTAGACTCGAAACGAATGTTCCTCCGGAACACATTCCTGCGGAGATGAAAGCTAAACTACAGTTGTTATATTGCCACGTATTATTTCCGGGTGAAATGAAGCAAGACGATGATGTATATATATACACATGCCCAAAAAGGGATATTTTCAAACACATCTCAAAATTCTTTAATCCGATTTCTTTTGACCGATTAAGCCGGTTGAAGATGATACTGAGAATTGCCAAAAAGAGCGAGTAAGTTGTACCTCAATGAATACCGATATTTTGTGATATTTTTCGTTCTATTTATTAATTATTGCAACTTATATACATTTTTTACTTATTTTATATAAAGAAAACTTATTTTATTTAAGAAAAATTAATATGTTATGTATTACAATGTTTTTCAATAAATTCCTATTCGAATTATTTTTCTGATTTTATTTTCTCCCTGCGCAATGCCGATTATCGCAATAAATCTCCCATATATAAAAGAAGCATTTCATTAATTTCCTGCAAAATCGTTCCTGAGAAACAGTTTCAGAAAAATATGAAAAATCGAGATCGTCATAAGTAATTTCCAAACGTTTCATTCCCGCAACTAGCGCAACTATTTTACTGTAACAAGGCTAATAATACTTGTATATCCGACTTTTAACACTTCAATGTCTGAGAGCTTATTAGTAGGCTTTCCATCATGAGTGTCAGTAAGGGTGTCACAGTGATGTTAATATTCTACATAAAATATCTAATTTGTTTTATACCAAGATATATTGTTAATAGACATACATAATAAAACATTTATACTTCTATTAATTTACTCTTTTTACAATTTTCTTTCTTTCTCTCTCTCTACAACTTTTATTTAATTTTTACTCTTGTCATGGTCCTGTGATCTCTTAAGCTCAAGAAAATAAATTAGTACTGATGCCAAAATTTTGTTTATAAATTAAGATATTACAATGCGTTAAGATAAATATTTGCTGCGAAACTCATCAAGATATACTTAAATTAATAAAAGTACTGCTTGATTTAAAAGTGAAGAACAAGCATTATTATGTTTACTTGATTGTAACATTTTTTTTCTATGTATAGGTAAACATTGACGATTTATCGTTTGCGTTTCTCGCACGATATAAATTTCGACCGTTAACCGTCTTAAAGATATACAAATCATCACAATACCGACGAGCGAGCGAAGTGGAGCAAGAACAGTTTGAAATCGTCGCGAGGTCTTGGCTAGTCGAACACGAGATTAAGAAGCATCTATGCACATAATTCATTACACTGACGTTAAGGAACGAATAATTATCTGTTATTATCGCACAATGGGTATTTTACGATATCGTCAAAAAGATAACGACAAAATACGAATAAAAGATGAATGGAGTTTCGGCAACGGAAATGCATTACATCAAACAACCATGTAAGTAGCAGTCCCGACATATATTCGCTCGTTTGAACGCGTTCCGCAAGACATAATGACGCTGAACATTTTGTGATCCACGAATCATTGCGAAATAAACGGTAGCTTGCCGTGACGTTTCAGAGAGAATGCGGTTTTCAATAAGAACGCTGGCAATTTCAAACAGCAGCAATCGCTAATTATTCGCATACGTTCAATTATTTTGTCATTCTTTTCCACAAAGAAATGGAAGTTATCTTGCGAATTTAAGAAACTAATGCAGAATCTCACCATATTGAAGAAATACCATAAGCGACACATTAATAATCCTTCCTTAAAGTGGCGCAAAGTTGGAGTAGTGAAGCACTTATTCGTGTATCCACTGGTAAATGTGGCCACTGCGCAGAATGTTATGTCGTGTTATATTCATCGCAACGAAATAGTTGGATGTAACAATGGAGTACCAATACGAAATCAGTTAGTACCATGTATTTGATAATTCACCATCTTAACCTCTTACGACAGCAGTTAATTGGACTCGTGAGACGCATTCGTCTGTCGAAATTCATGCTCGAAAAGAACGGAAGTATACATTGTACTCTCCAATAATCTTAGAGTGAAATCACTCGAAAGGTAGTGCGACCACTCGAATTCGAGTAAAATTTTTCATTTATATCAAGTGAGTTCTTTTCTCTGAATCGTTGAGTGAATATTCTCACTCAAAATTGAATCTGATGATTGAAGGGTGACTCTATCGTCACATATTCGTTCTGATCGATTGAAAATATTCGCTCATATAAAGTCAGAATTCACTTCAAGCTTGAGTGAAACATTTATTCTTGCGATTTCAAATGGCAATATTTTCACTATTATTCTTAGTGGAAATACTGTCATTTTTCACTTGTTTTGAGTGAGATATCAAGATATTTGGAGAGCACAATTAGGTTTATACATATCTTACATTGTGCCTTGAAATAGTTCTTGTCTTGCACATTCCGACGGACCATTTTCTATTAATAAACTGCTTATTATATTAAGCTATTGCAGCTTTCCATTAACAAATAAAGCTATGATCAATAAATAAGAAATACGCAATAATAGCTACAAGTTTGGCTTCATTGAAGGAGCTTTTGCAAATTATTTTATATTTTACGTGACTATACTGCCGGGCTTGAGATCGTCTGCATATTAGTTCACATTTTCTGCTGTCCTGAACTTAATTTTTCGAGTTTTTCAATTTAGTAAACGAGGAAGTACGTCTAAAAAAGCACGTTATCCAAAAATACAAAAAATTCAAAATCTTTTCATTTTAATTTCAAAGCTACATTTTTGATCCTCTTAATTTAATATTCTTGATTAAAATGTTAAAACTTATTAGAATTTAAAATTTATTTTGAATAAATTTGATGTTTATGATGAATTTATGATGAATTTATATATATATATATATATATATATATATATATATATATATATATATGAGTCATATGTAATTTTTCTTTCTATCTTTAGAAATAAGGTCAAATAGAGTCTAACTAAATTAATGTAATATTTAGACCAATAGAAGCCATTTCTGATTGAAACAATATTTTTCGCAAAATCAATACTCAAGCAAAATATTATATTAATTTTCTTTCTATGCCCACACACAAACGATCTATATCTGTTTCATACAATTACATAAAAATATTTAGTTGTAGGAGAGGTTTCTCAAGCGAATCATGATAGCTTCTTAAACTTTTAATTTGTACTATCAGTATGTTTGTAGTGTACGACGAGAAGACCAATATAATTGAAACAGACAATGAGATGCATAATTTTACAAACATGATAATCTCAATAAAAGATGAAAATACAATAATACTGAAAGATGTAAATGTGGAAAGCATGCCTCTGGTTTTAAAGAACTTCGTGGTCGATAAAAACCGTAAGACATGTATAATGTCATTCGCTCATGAATTTTTAGTCAAAGTAGAAGTCTCAGACTGCGGCCAAATGGCGGCCGAGTGGCTTAAGAGGTGTGAGCAGTTAATCATTTTCGCAACATACGCTGTGATATTTCATGTGTTATTTAACATGTGCATTAAATGCTAATTAATTGCTTTGTAGCTACACCAAAAACTGGAATTTGCGTTTGGGATACTTATTACGCGATTTAAAGCCACAAAAAACATTTATGCACCAATACCACAGCTTAAATTTGGAAAATCAGAATTGCAAAAATATGATGGTAGTATTAACTGTGTTAACAGTGTGTTAGTATAGTGTCCCGAATTGCGAGACGTTTATTCATTAACAACTGCAATCGAATGATCCCAGGTAGACTGTCATAATTATCATGACGTGACCCAATCAACGATAAAAACTCTTTATAGTCTTTCAATTATATCTATAAAACAAATGTACAATATTAAATTTTACCTTCACATCACCATATTACCTTTACATCATATAATGATGATAAATTGTTTGTTATATTGATGCAATAACGAATTTATTAAGAGTTACTCTCATATAACAAATTCTGATAATTTCTTCGTATTTCTTTCGAATTTTTTTCGTTGTTTTATGCGATAAATATAAGTATTATATGAGAGAGAGAGAGAGAGAGAGAGAGAGAGAGAGAGAGAGAGAGAGAGAGAGAGAGAGCCATACATGGGAAGAGGGGAGAGGGTAAAGGAAAGAATTATACAACATTTACGCACAACTAGTAAAGTGTTGATAAATTTGCGTTTGCTTCGTCTACCTGGAATCCAATCGGGTTTTTTCTGTTTTTCCAATTAACGTAAACTATGCAATTCGATTGAAATCAGCCTGCACGCTAATTATGTCCATTGTGCACCTCGTGTAACATCATCCCGACATTGAGATGTTATATCTTTAGTCTGATACAACTTTCGAGGCATTTATTCTCCGCAGATACCCTTCGAAAATATTCCGTGTTTGACGTTATTATCAAGCACATCGTTCAAAGAAGTAGAGAAAATATTACCATACACTTCGCTGCAAATGTTACGTCCAAACATTTTTATTTCGACTTTTGAAAAACCGTTCAATGAGATAAAGTGGCAAGAGATCAAAATTGGAAATGCGATCTGCAATAATGTCAAACCGTGGAAAAGGTAAAATAAACGTATACGCGTGTTTATCATATATATATATATATATATATATATATATATATATATATATATATATATATATCTTTAGCCGTAACGTTCAAGGGCGCAAATTACAATCACGGTATGCGTTTCATTTTTTCGGACACAGACCTAGAATATTTTGCGACAATTCCGAGATAGAAATAGTCTCTGACATCTTTATCTTTATTATTATTATCATTATTGTTATCTATGCAACGTGTGTTTTTTTCTTGGCTTAGATCGAAGTCACAAATCAACTTTACAGACATGTCCATAGATATGAAAAAGGAAAAGATGTTACTGCATTGCGAAGTACTATTCCCGTGGCCGGTGAAAGAAGGCGATAATGTGTACGTCCTCGAGGAAGAAGACAATTAGCTTTAAAGATATTTAGAGAATTTCAGATTAATTATTTTTTTTTATTTAATTTCTTTGATTACCTAGACAATTGTTCGCGTGATGCAAAAGCGATAATGTAATGCGCGTGCACTGAAAAAAAGGCTTTGTAACAGTTAACAAATGCATTTGGTTAAGCGTTTCAGTACAATATTTATAAGTGTAACTGGTATCATGTATAGTAATATTACCATATAACCATCTGGTAATGATTACAAGACAATTAGTAACACAAATTGTTCATTTATTTGAATTAATTAAATTATTTAGTAAATTTAATACCAAATAATTTGGTAATAATAACTGAATAGTTTGACTGTTAAATATTTAGTTATTTTGCATATATATCTTATAATGTAATATATGATGTTACTAAACAATAAGTTTTGTTTAACGAACGGCTTGGTGATGCGTATTACATAAATTCGTAAGTCGCCAAGCCTTAACAAGATACCAAGTTTTACTAAAATTATTTATAAATATTTACAAAGTTATTTATTTATATTCATCTACACGTTTAGTTGAAACCACTTAACCAAAGCATTTAACTAATTATTATCCAGGCTTAATGATTGCGAAACCTTTTTTCAATGTGAGTAAAGATGTGAAAAATAAGTTGAACGTGTAGAATAAGCATTTCTTGTTAATACTTTTGTTCTTTGGAGAAAAATGTTTAGTAGAAATTGCTGTGACATTCTTAGTTGCTTTTGCAATTAACCGCGCAAAATACGTGAAAAGTAAAGGGATCGATTAACATGCATTGGATGGTCAAATGCGACTAATAATGTATGAAAATGACAAAGATAGATAGAAATCCCGAATTAATTTAATTAACATTGAATACTGACAAAATACTTCAAAGTTATTGATATCAAATAATATTGTTATTGGAATTATTAATATTGTTATGCGACAATATTTTTTAACACATTCTGTCAAACTTTAAAAGAGATCTATGATCTTGTTTTTAGTCATTCTGTTGTCGTTAAGAGAATACGCTTTTAAGACGAGTATCTTGAAACACATGAAATAATAATATTAAAAGTTATTCATGTTAATAAAAAAATAAGCAATCAGAAAATAGATAATGCCGATTATCGATTTTCCCAATTTTAATAAGAAAAACTTGAAGCTTTCTATAAGAAAGTCGCATTTTACTATATTAGCTTCAACTTAGATTTTTACACATATCGCTTACTATGCATTGTCAAATTACCGTCAAGAGCATCATTCTCTTTAACAGGTACAGATTTATTGGTATAATTACAAATATATATACATATATACGTATGCTATACATACTAATTATTCAAAATTCAATAAATCATCATTAAAAATTTGACTTGCGTGTTGTTATTTAGGATTACTAATTGTTAATAAAGAAAAAATTGAAAGACAGAGAGAGAGACAGAGAGAGAGAGAGAGAGGTCAAAAATTTCAGTTGAACACTCTACCACTGTTGAGATTAACTGAAATTTGAAGAAAGTCAACCACAGACACATATTTAAATCTCTTTCCAAGATACCACACAGAGAAAATTTTACAGTAAAAATTAGTAAATTATCTACATTTTTCTAGAAATAAGTTAGTTTGTTAATCTGTTTCATATTAATCAATACGTAAATTATATATCGCTGTGTTATAAGGAAAGAGAGAGAGATATTGTGATTGAGCATTCTCGGGACATAATCCTCCATAGATCAATGAGCCACCATCGAGGATCGAGAGGAATAATTGAAATATTACGATATCAATAAATTAATATTCCTACGGCTTAAAAGAATTTTCATTACCGAACTGATATTCAGAGATAAATAATCGCTCATACACATGAAATGCTTCTTCATGAAGTATAAATAACGTGCTCGGAAATAAATAGAAAGTACAACAGATCAGGTATAAACATGTGGTTCAACCTATCGCTCGCGTCCGTGTCACGCAATTTACACAATATAAACATTTTAAGCGTTATCGCTATGTAAACAGATATAAGCCGACGTGACGAAAGCGGTCGACAGACGTGACCGACTGCTTCTTCAGTTGATCGAGGAAATTTGATCGAAGAGAGTGTGAATCGTAACACGAGATTCTTGCCCAACAAATTAAGAAACAGCGTCGTAAGTAGCGTGCGAAATATTATATATTGTGGGGCTAGTGTTTTACAATTAAAGAAATGTATGAACGAAGTGACTCAGGTAGCAGAAGTTGCCAAAACACTTCGGATTTCTGTTGTCGATAAGAAATCAAGTTGAAATCGAGTCAAAATCATGTACAAATCAGCAATCGATTTGAAAATGTACAGAACTTTCTTAAACTAAAAATTATAAATTATAAATTTCGTATACGAACAGAAGATGGTTATATCTTTTATATTTTATATATATAGTCGCGAACCAAAAAGTTTGAGAACCACTAGTAACTTTCAGTCAGTGTATCGCGTGACAAAGCAAACGTTCCTCTTTCAACTAAGAATATCGAAAGAGAGAGTACATGATAAAGTTTTCAAAAACAGGATATATCTCACAATATAGAATTTATCGGAATTTCTGATTTTCTAGCCATAGTATTTTCCTGCAGTTTATCCGACAAAGCAATATAATTTAATAAACGTATAATATCTGATGTTATGCTGTCGAAAATGCTGCACAAAATGTCCAACGGATGTGAAGGTGAAAATATGTGGAGTGAAATCGGTGAAGTCTCAAACCTGCACGTGTATCCCTTGTCATCATGCAAGCCTATGGATGTTTCGGAAATTCATATTGGCCATAACGGAGTGGTTCTCGACGAAAGTATTTGGAATAAGTGAGTCACGATACACAATTAATCGACACAATTAATTCCTTAGCTTGAACGCTCGTCTGCTTCGCGCTCGTGTGAATAATCAAGTCTTTAAAATATAACAAATATACAAGATGACGATAAGTAAAAAAAGGCACGTGCACATGCAGATCAAACTGAACACAAAATTCTATTATTTTGCAAACGACCACGTAAAATTTTGAATTATTAAAGAAGATTGGTGAATGTGTAGGTGTGTATGTGTATGCGCGCGCGCATGCGTACGTCCGCATGCATACGTCATCCGCTAATTTCCTTTAATCGATAACTAAAAAAATCTACGTGGTTATTTGTCAAACTAACAAATTATAAAAAAAATTAACTAATTTATTTCTAGAAAAATGTAGATAATTTACTAATTTTTACTGTAAAATTTTTCCTGTGTGGTATCTTGGAAAGAGATTCCGATATATGTGTCTGTGATTGACTTTCTTCAAATTTAATCTCAACAGTAATCTCAACAATGAATAGAGTGTTCAACTAAAATTTCTGACTTCTCTTTCTCTTTCTGTTTCTCAATTTCTTCTTCATTAACAATTTTATTTGATAACCTCGCGGTTAACTATCGGCTAAAATAATAGAGCACTTTTTCGTTCAAGATGACTTAAAGTACAAACAAATGATGGAAATCATACTTACCGTTACACTATGCACCGTATAAAGCGCAATCATTCGCCAGGCTTTTTTAATTAATAATTCCAAATTTTATGCGATTATTTGCGAAATAGTAGAGCAACTTTGTGTTCAGTTGAACCTAATCTATCGTCACAGACACTTTATATAATTAAGCTTTGAAAGGGAAAGGATCGAAGTTTCAGTATGGCTAATGCAGCTAAAAGGAACAAGCTTAACATCGCTGAAATCGTTGCAATTCAATGTCGTCGAGCTGAGTTAATTCTCGTATATTTCACCAGCCCAGAAATTATATAGCGAATGTGTGCTGCACCGCAGGAAATAACGTGAGAATTTTTATTTCACACCATCAGCATGCTCGTAGTATACAACGCGGACAGCAAATGCATCTACAATAACTCTGCCGCCAAATTGTCGCACATAATAGTAAAAATCATAACATCACGTCAAATGGAATTATCAATATCAGATTTCAAGTTCAAGTTGGACTTAGACATATTAAACAAAAATGAATTGCATTCAGTCGTTTGCATACAGTTGGTGGACAGTAAATATATAGTGAAGAAGAAGTACATCGATTGCGGCGACGTCGTTGCCAATTGGTTAAGCCAGTGTGTAACACATAATGTCTGATATTTCACACGGAGAAAAATAATTTGCTGGCCCAGCAAGTTTTGTGCTGGTTTAGCAAAATCTTTTCGTTATTATATAGACAGCAAAAAGTTTTGCTAAGAGCATTAATTACTATTTGCTGGATATAATTTGCTGAATCTACAAATTATTTTGCTATAAGAATCTTGATGGATTTATATAAGCAGTTGCAGTTTCGCTCCAATAGCAAATAAATTTGCTAAGGATATATTACTTTGCATCAATAGCAAATTAATGTGATTCTTAAGACAAATACACTCAACAAATTTTTTCTATCCTGGCAACGAAACTACTTCTGCTTTGATAACAAATAATTTGTAAAATTAGTTACGTCAACTAAATTTTTTTTTATGTCACTACGAATATGCAGCAACGACGATTTTGCTAAAAGAGCAAAATTATTTTTCTCCGTGCACTATACCTTAGCTTGCCCACGAAATTTGATATGCAAACTGATTTACAGTTATCTAGACGAATTTAATGTACGTTTAGGATATGTCGACCTATCTGCACCCAAGGAAATTATACAAAATTATATTGAGTGGATGTACGATGATAGCAGTAGTAATCAGGTAAAAAACCGTTTGAAAAAGGTATTGAAATGTCTCGATTCGTGTGTAACATGCTGTTAGTATAAATGGCTAGATGACCGGATGATTTTGTTAGCTCTTTTAATCCTTAAGCGGGCACGCCGCGGTGCTGAGCACTGCAAAAGATCGGTTTTTCTAAAAAATTACAGATGGAGCAACTCCTTTCTCTATTAAGTCTTTCTGTATTGCTCATTCACGTCAAAGAGTAATCGATGCTACAATTGTAACAGTTTTGTTTGTAGATATCATAGTATTCAGATTGTTACCTGCATAATCTGTAAGAAAATCAATTCTGAAGATATTGTGTAATTATTTATAATTACTATTTTTACTTTTTTCAAGTGTTTTGAAGAGCTTATTTTATGTTATTTTCCAATAGGAACGTTGATGTGTCTCTTTAATATTTTAAGCTACTGCTTCATTTTTAGTATATGGTGCGTGTTTCGTCTAACCAAAGATTTATTTTATAAAAGACAACATAAAATTTCAATGTTATATTTTTATAATATTATAAATATATTTTACTTGCTTCTATGATAATTTCTATGATGATTTGACAATCTTTTTTTTACTCAAATATTATAAATATTATAACATTTAAATAATAAATTTGTGATGCGGTACTCAGCACTGCGCGCGCCCACAAATGTTTGGGTGGGAAATGCACCCGCTTAAGGATTAAGTTCAGATCAATATTTATTTTCCTTTCAGAATCTGTTAAACCCATCGTCTTGCCGTTTAATGTCACTAGAATCGTTCGAAAAGATGAAAGAAAATATAAATAACATCGACATGAAGAACTTTAATCCGAATATCATTATCACGACCAAACAGCCTTTCAAAGAGGACCAAATAGAATTGTTTAAGATAGGAGACGTAGTTATAAAAACTCGTCGATTATGCCTGAAGTAATCGCCTGCATTATCTTAATGCATTATATTAGCAGGGTTGGGTAATAACTAGTTAAATAGTTACAAGATAAGTTAAAAGGTTAACAACTCTTCTTTAATATAACTAAGTTAATTTTAAATGACTCAATTTTTAACTGGAACTATAGTTATTTTAGACTGCATTAACTTTAACTTACTAATTTATTTTATATTATAATTTCTGTTATTAATAATTCATCAATATTAAAATCATTGCGAGGTGTTACCAATGTAAAATAGAAGAAATAAAAAACAATGGCAGCAGAATTTTTTTCCGACTCTTTGAAAAGTATTCTTTTTTGTAGAATAGCCAATTACAATTTTTTTCATTAGCTAACTTTTCATTATATCACATAAATTTAATTTTCAATTAAAACGTTGATTATGTAAAAACATATATATCACCTCGCGTAATTAACTTTTAACTTTAATTTTGATGTAACCTTTAACTTAACTTAACCTTTAACTTTAATTTTTTATGTAACTTTTAACTTAACTAAATTAATTTTATAAGCTATTAATTTTAAATTTAATTTAATTAAAGAAGTAAGTTAAAACTTACCCAACTCTGCATATTAGTGCAAATCGAGAATATTCTCGGATTTACGACATTACGATTGCGAAAAAAAATCTTAATTTATATATATTTATATATAATCTTAATTTATATTTATTTATAGCATTTATAGCAAATTAATATTTTTTCTTTTTTCTTAATATAGATTTGAAGGTAAAAAAGCACTTCATATCCCCATGGAAATGAGAATGCAATTTTTGTCGCTAAATTGCGAAACAATCAAATCGGGAAAAATAAAAACTGGTGATAAAGTATATGCTATACTAAAGAAAGAAAAGTTTAAAGGACCCTCGTCTTATGAAATAAATGGTTTTGTATCGAAAAAATATGCTGCAGCACGAAAAAATGAGTTAACAAAGAAGTAATATGGAAGTTTTTGATGGACACTGTGAAGATTATGATAGGTTTTAGTAGAAGATAATCATCGATTATAATTTATTATATTGTATTAATAAGTGCACTCACTTCCTAAACGACTTGCACATATTATTCCCTATGAAATTGCAATGCCCCAGGTTACTTGAAAGTTCCTCAAGTTAGAGTTAAGACATTAGGGTGAGAAAAAAGATGTAGCGTGCTTTGTCATTTCATTCTTAAAGCGCATCTCTCTCACTCTCAAATGTTTATTTTTAAAAATAACAAACAGGAAGTGGGACTATTGGGAATAATCATGCTCTGTCCTAACTCTGACTAGAAAAACTCTAGGTGACGTGAATTGAGAGACATTGTTGACGCATGTGACCGGTTATGATAGAAGCCGAAATGACAGTATACGATATAAGTATTGGTCTTTTATAATTGGCCAATTGTTACATTCTTCACTGGTAAGTAAGAATGTAATAAAGATACTTACATTTTTTCTGAATCCTCACATACAATGGCTGCTCATAATGTTTGCAATGGTTGCGATATTAGATATTTTAAATATTAGACTCTTATTATAATCAATTACTGCGTAATCGATACTGCCATTACTTGCATGATAACTGGTTGTGACAATAACATAATGCGGCATATAAATATCGGCTGTTTATTATAATATTATCTGATAAATAAGAAAATGTAATAATTGCATTTATGTTTTTTTCTAAATCAATTATTGCATGATACTGAATGTCTTATATATTGTCACTTTGGTTCCTGTCAACGAGTTTCCGAATTTTGTGAGTAATGACTGACAATCGTGACAGGCGCGAACTTCATCGGAAAAAAATATGTTCAAATCTATTCACGAAATGAGTATTTACATATTTAGTGGTATTTAAATAAAATATTGTAACAAATATGTAAGGACAATAATAATTAGTCCTGTAAGAGTAATGGTCTTTTGTCTTTTCGTTGTATTTGGGAGGTCGGAGCGGATTATAATTGAAATCGCTACCCCAGACAGCACAATCTAATAAAAAACATCTTAAAGATATTCAAAAGACGTCCTATTTCTCTTAGACTTTTTTGGATGTCATTAAGATATCTTTTGGTAATTTGTGGTTACCTCAGCAGTGAGAAATGTGGAGAGAGCTAACGCAAGCCAAATGTTTTCACTTTGATCTTGCAAGTTTCGTCAAACTTAAAGAATCGATCAAGAATCTCGAAATATAACACTATAGTCTGTTGTACCTTGATACACTGCCAATCAAGCGACACGGTAGTATCACAAAGAAGTTGAAGTCAAATTTAACTTCAAGATATAAAAACTGGCGACTCGAATCGCATCAGAATACATAGGAGCTTTTAAATATATGAACATCTTTACAAGTTCGTCTTGAACATTTCACTTGGATATTTCAGCATTTAATTATTTAATAAAATAAGTAATATACATATGTTTTAAATTGCAAAAATTAACTAAAAACTAAATTTTATATGACTAAAAACAATATTTTATATGAAAAGATATTAGCAGAAGAATAAACATTATTTTTTCCATTTGAAAGAAGAAGTGTTCCAATTACTTGACAATTTCAATTAACTTTTCTTCTTTTATGATTTTATGTAATTAATACTAGATGAACATTTTCTTATGTTTTTTTTCTCTATGTCCTGTATTCCTATATAAGAGCTGATTTTTAAACTCTGTTTTATAATAATATTACACTCACCGTATCTGAAAATTTTTATATACTTGGTATTTTCTTTTTCTTTTACCTTTTTATAGAATATTCACAAAAAATCATTTGTAAAGTATACATACAGTATATATAAAAAAAAATCACAAATATGGCTGAACAAGTAAATATACTGTTTGTCGCTCGCGTCTACTTCGCGACAGACGAAAACTAAATATTCCCAGAGCCCTAACTGTACATAAAAAAATACAAATCGTCGTAACGAGCGAGAGGCCGCGATCAAAAGATTCCAGTTTACTCTAGAAACTTGGCTAATCCGAGCTAGCGCAAGATTAAGGCAGATTAATGAGTGATTAATGCTGTCGACGATAAGAAAGGAATAGCGTGCCAAAAATCTCACGATACCATCGACGCAATCAGTGGAAAAAACAGCAGAGAAATAACAAAACAAATAAGATTTATCGTGACATTAATAAATCGCGTAAGTAACATTTATATATAAGTTGCGCTCACATGTTCGTACATATACCAGAAAACTCACACACAAACGTCAGTTTAAAATATAATTAAAATATTTCAAATAGATGGCAACATCATCAAAGGACAGGTTGCTAGCGAACGAATATTATGATAGAAATGTACTGGCAATTACAGGTCCAATCACGTGCTTGACTTTGTACTGGAATTAACGTTCCGCGCAAGTACAGCCATACAGTCTTACTTATATGTTTCGACTTTGTATTGAATTATATATTCCGCGCAAACACAGCAAACACTAAACTATTCACGGGACAGAAACGGCAATAAAATTTCATAAATTGAAGTTTTCACGTGTGTTCGTGTACAAATCTTATGTTTTAGCATCCGTAATTACTTGTGACATGTATCTATTGCCCCAGCTACCAAAACATCCTTTATTACGACCAACTCTTAGCAGCAAAAGTAAAAATGCCGTCGCAACACGCTATGATTTGCTAAATTGGTGCCAAGTTGGTAAGATCGAAAAGTTACACGTATATCCGCTGCTTGCGGGTCACGAAATATATTGTCCAAAATGCAGTTTCACCGAAACAGGCATGACAGGAATGTTCAACGATACCAAATATTCAAGCCAGTACGTCGTCTAAAAATTTATTCAATTAGTATACACATTTTCTTTCTTCAATTTTTCGTATATTTGAATAATGCATAATCATTTTCACGCGAGACGCCTCAGATAACCACAACTGCAGATTTTACGCAATGTTTGCTGTAAATTTTGTCGGCAGTTTGTCAACAGAAATACAACAGAATCACTGCACACTGCGCAAAATCTATTTCTGCAGATTTGGCTATCTTGCACATTGCGATGAATAATATTTGATATACATGTTCTCCTTGGTAAGACAAGTGTTTGTTAATATAACTATGCTGTAAGATACATTAATATATCACGACCTAAGATACATTAATATATCACGTTAACATTTATTATATCATTAATATATTATTTAATAATGATGTTTCGTCGATTATAAAAATTGAGATATATGGAGTTTTCTCTTCATAATCTGTCTAAAGTAATTGAACATAATTGTGCACTATCAGCATGTTCGTAATATACGATTGCAAGACCAATTACATCATCCATAACAACGCAATGATAGCCAATATGTCGATAAAATATTTGGGCAAGTATAAAGTGCGAATAAGGTCGTATTATGAGAGGGATTTAATAATAGAAACAAATAAAGTTATAATAACGGGAGAAAAAGTCACATGCACCACATCATTCTGCCAAAAAGTTGTAACTGAAATAAAATGTAAGGATTGCGGACCAGAAGCCGCTACATGGATTTCCAAGTATGCCAACATTCAACCAATTTTAACGTTCTTCTATAACTTTTGTCAATCCGAGTAAAAGAAACATTAAGTCAAATATTTTAAATATTGATTTACAGATGTATAAAAGACGATGATGCTCGTTTAGCATGTACGATGACTATATACGATAATTATTCCAAGACATCATCTCAGAAAAAATACCAACAGTTACCTAGCTGGCAATCAGATAACAGAAATATTACGGTATGAAAATATTTCTTAGAATTATAATGTCCACAATTAACACCAGTGGCTGACCATGCGAGGCTTCAACTAAATCTTTCAACCTTCCATTCCTTCATTAATTTTTTAAACAAATATAGTGTAACTTTTCCTCTCCGTGATTCTCTCCCCTGTATCTAATAAGGAACATAAAAATATTAAACTCTTTTAGAAATTTCAAGCCTTCCTGATATATATATATATATATATATATATATATATATATATATATATATATATATATATATATGTATGTATATGTATATAGAAATAAGTATATGATAAATCACGACGCCAGACAAAACTTTTTATATTAAAACAGGAATTAGTAGATACATTAACAGAGCGCTTCCTATACTCTGTAACCATATTCTAATAAATTATAATTATCAATACAGAGTCAATATTTATTAGAGATATATTTAAATATTAAATTTCATAATATTCATTCTTTTTAGACACCTTCTGCATCTTCACCTTTTTACACCTTGATACCGTGTCCATTGCGCAACCAGTTTAACTTCAATGTGATTAGAGCTATCGAAAGACGAATATTTAAGCCGCATATATATGTTAAGACTAGTCATATTCACGATATACACGAATGGAATTGGATAATGATTGGGAATGTAATCCTGAGGAATATTAAACAGCTTCCAAGGTAAGCACGCATACATATCACTTATGCTGCACGTATTACTTTACCTACGAATCTATTACTACGAGATTGGCATTTTTTAAATAAATTTCGGGTATTTACAACAAGTATGGAACAACTTGTTCTGTCATGAAATATCTGTCATGCATCTATATGTGCTCTTCGAATTCAGATCGAGAAGGAAAATTAATTGGCAGGAGATGCCAGTGCAAAAGTTCAGGCGTTTCCTACCATTACAGTACGAGCTGACGATTCCTGGACAAGCAGATGTGGGCGATTACGTGTACATCAAGAAATCTAATACAAAAATAACGAATAGAAAAATAATTATCTAAGAAAGTTTTAAAAAAATTGGACAGTTTCACGTCTTGTTTTAAGTTTTATTGGTTTCATATGTTTTATATTAAGTAGCAATTGTTATTTCCTGCAATTTACTTTTGTAAGCTTATCAAATATATCAATCCTCACGAAAATTATAATTAGGTATTGTCAGATAAATATTGTTCGTTTTTATCGTTATGCAATTAAAAATTTATTGACCTCTATCGGAGACAGAGCTTATCCCTTCTTCTCTGGGAGAAGTTATACTTGCGAACTAATATTTGTGAGTCGACTATTCACGCAAGATCGGTTGCTGGAAATATTCATAGATCGATCCATGTAAAATCGTCTGCAAATTATTCGCCTTACACATATCAGAAAAACTGAAAATATGGTCGACCAAGTAAACATGCTGTTGCTGATATATAACTCACGTATTGGTAATATTTGAAGGATAAACGTTACAAGAGCGTTAATTTCCTTAAGAGAAATATATATATAACGAACGATAGGCCCTTAACAGACGATTCCAGTTCTGTCTGAAAACTCGGTTAGTCCATGTAATCGCAATTAAGACAGATCAGCGCGCAATTAATTCGACGACAAGAAAAGAATATCTGCAGTATATATCACAATATTACACACCGGCACTGATAGTGCAGAAAATAAAAAAGGAATAACAAAACAAATAAGATTTGTAGAGATATATTTAATAAGTTGCATTATTAAGTTGCGTAAGTAACATCTATGAAAATATGAATTTCTCACACGTTTCGCGTATATTTGCAAAGGCTGGAGAATCTCACTGAAGCATCGATTTAAGATTTTGGATTATTGTGAAAATACGTTTAATTTACTTAAGTTTGCATGTTCAATCACGTATTATATCCTGACTTTGTGTTTGAGTTAACGTTTCGCGTAAGCACAGACACATTAGACAATATACGATATAAAGCTTATCGAAATTCAAACAGCATGATATAAAATTTCGTGAGTTACAGTTCTCATACATATTCGTGTATAAATTTCAGGCGATATATAATTAATCATACTGATGTGATTAATAATTAATAATTAATTTCATCAATCAATGAAATGATCTGCGATTTTATACATGACAATTGACTAATTTTGATTATCGATTGCCGGTTACTTTAGTCGGTAAAATTTTAATCGGTTGTCATCCAATATTGATTCCAGGTTAATCACAATTGTAATTGTGAATATTCACTTGTAACATGTATCGACTGTCCAAATCACTGAAATATCCTTTATTACGACAACAAACTCACGACAAAAAAGATGTCGCGAGTAAAGATTTAGATTGGCACAAAGTTGGTGAAGTTAAAGCGATATACACATATCCTATGTTCGAAGGTCGTAGAGTATACACTCCTATATGCATTATTTCCGAGCTTGGCATGTTTGGAATAGCATTCAAGAAGAATGTTCATGATTTTTTTCGTTATCGAAATGAGTACGTCATCTAAGAACTGATTTCCTTGATGTAATATTTCTTTACCGAAATGCTTAGCAATCGACAACGTTTCTCGTGTAAAGTATAACGCATTACTGTAAACCTGACTTGATAGTATTCACTTCGCGCGATGAGATAGATATTCGTTAATATAACCACTTTCATAAAAGAGAGGATACATTAACATGAAATGCTTATATAAATGACTTCTACCAATGCATGTTACCAATGCATGTTACCAATGCATTATTATACCGATATTCAGTCGATTACAATGATTATGGTAAATGAAGTCTTCACTTTGCTTAAAATAATTGTTAAACTTAATTGTGCATTATCAGAATGTTTGCAGCATACAACTGCAAAACCAATTGCATCATCAAAGCTATCGACAACATCAAGATACGCGATATTGAAGCAACATATTTGGACAACGCCAATGTAAAAATATCATTTTTTTCATCATTTATTACAGTAAACCTGCATAAGATCTTAGTGAGCAAAGTCATTAAGTGCATAACATCATTCTGTCATAAACCCGTCGTTATAATGTTGTGCTTCGATTGCGGGCCAGAAGCAACTGAATGGATTTCCAGGTGGCCACATTCAATAATTTCTAATTTTGCAACATATTTTCGGTCAATCATAAGAAACACCAAACATAAAAAAATTTATTTACAGGTGTCTAGGCGACAAGGATGCTCGATTAGCATATCATGCGCTAGAGAAACCCAAGCCTAAAACTCCATACTGGAAACTCTGTCAGAGATTACATAGCGCACAACAAGATGAAAAGTTTTATGGGGCAGAATTAGATGAGAGATTTTATGAGGTACAAAAATATGCCAAGTTATAATGTCCAGTATCAATGACCGGCTGCGAGTATTGCTTTGAGCCTTCATTTAACTCTTCCACTTGTCAATCTTCCAAACAAGTATAATACCCTCTGCTTAAAATAATAAATATAAAACAATATAAAACATTGCATAAGATTTAATCTGAACTTCAATCTAAATCAATATAAATCAATAAGATGATGATTGATTTACATTGGAACTCAAGCTAAACATAATGCAATCTTATCGTTTCGTATTCATCATTTTAAACAGGGTACTCATATAAATCATATGCACACGTATCCCCTTTTGTCTAGTGTCTCACTTCATTTCTCTCTCACTCATTCTCTTGTGATATGTAACAGATAATATATTTAGTCTCCTAAATTAAAGTTAAATTTATATTAAGAGATGCAAATAATATATAGAAATATGTTCATGATGTATATATAGCAATATATAGACAAAGCTACTTAGAATAAAGCAGAAATTAGTTGATACGATCACGAAGCCCTTTGCATATAATATGTGGTCACTTTCCGACAAATTACACGTTAATTATAGATATAGTAAATACATTAATTATAGAAATGTATTCAAGTGTTAAATTATACAACATTTAGCGGCCATCTTTCACACCCATACTCGATTACAAATTGTCGCCGCTTCTAAACTATGACCTGTTAAGCAAGCCTTTGACCTCGGCTGTACAGCCGCAAAAACTTCGATCCAATATTATTATTAAAGTTGATAAATTTGATGATTTATCTGGATGGAAGTGGATCATGATCGGCAGTACTATCCTGAAATATCCAAAATATTTGCCAAGGTAATATCGCATACGTATCAGTTATCAATTATATATCTCTCGCATTACTTTATCCATGAATTTATTAGTATGAAGTCAGCATATTTCTAACAAATTTCGGGCATTCACAATAGTAATAAAAAAATTTGTCTTCTCGTAAAATATTTTTAATATACTATACACACACTACATATACGTGTTCTTTACTCAATTTAGAAGGCAAAAATTTGATTTGGAGACTACACCTATTGAATTGCTAGTAAAATTTATACCATTACATTGCGAACTGTTACTTTCTGGAATAATGAAAGTGGGCGAAGACGTGTTCGTGAAAAAGGCTCCCCCACCACTAGAGACGATTGTTTAAAAATATCTGCTTATTTTATCTTTTGATTTAATTTTGTTGATTTCATTTTGGATAAGAAATAGCAATGATAACATTTTATTTGTTACCTTTTATCAGACGAATAGACATTTTAATCTCCACGAAAATTATGTATATAATTGGATATACTTCAATAAATAAATAAGACAAACTCTATTACTCGATATCTCATGGTGCAGTTAATTTTATTTATCTCTATGAAAAAATACACACACACACACACACACACACACACACACATATATATATATATATATATATATATATATATATATATATATATATATATATTAGCGAGAATTTTATATTTACATTTAATTGGGATTTTTGCTTCTTGGAGAATGCAAGATACATGAGCAATTTATACAAGTTTATAATTGTGGCTCTTACACGGCTTACCAAAACTAAAATGCATCACTACATTAACACAATATATATATATATATATATATATATATATATATATATATATATATATATATATATATATATTTTTTCT